GATGTGATAAATAGGGTCTCGGTAGGAAAATGATGTACCGGGCCAAACGGTCGAACGAACTGTATCCGTATAGAATAACCGAGCCCTCAACAACAAAAACGTGTATACTTGTACCAAGTAAATCAAAGAATACTTTCCTCTCCACCAAAGCATTTCGAAGGAGTTCAGAACTTTTTACAAAAATGGCTCCAGAGCCAGAAAACGTCCCGAAAACTCGGGGACTGACGTCACAAACTCGAAACCGTATGACCTCTGGGTCGGAACCTTCAAACTCGTAAGCCCTCAATGAGGAAATGACAAGTCTACAAAAATGTCCCCAGGGCCAACAAAACTTTCAATATCCCGGGGACTGCTGAGGCCATAAGGCCCCGTACGGACAACCTTGATCCCGTATGACCGCTATAAGGCAACACCAAAACTGTAAGACTTCAAGCAAGGCATGAACTATAATTGTACCAAGTAACCAAAACTGTAAGACCTCAAAGGCATGTAAAAATTATAAGACCTTACCAAAAGGCATTATCCCGACCCTAAAGTTGAGGCTATATATTAGAACTTGTAAGACCCCTAAAAAGGCATACCCTCGATATAGACGCTAAAACTATTTCACTCGGGGACTGAAAGGCTCCGGCCAAACATAATGACTACGGTCACAAGGCTGTACCAGCCAAACTAATGCGACTCGGGGATGCCCGACCGTTTCTATAAAATCACAGGCCTTCAAATTACTTCGAAAATACTTCAAAAAGAACCGGTTAAACAGGCTACCCTCGACATAGGCAAAAGAGCTTCAACCACGTCAGCTCCAAACTATAGGCTTCGAAACACTCAGCAACCGAGCAAAACCTCCCGAGGAGCTCGAACATCGCCACATAACGACTCACAATTGAGGTTTTTATCGAACCGTCGAAGAGTCAGGCAAACACAATTTCAAAAAGTCTTTAACGAGGGAAAAATAAAGCCCGTATAAAAGGTCGTACCGATCTAATGTGTAAGATCCACTGCTGCTAGCCCGTATGAAAGGTCGAGTCGACCTAAAGCGTAAGAGCCCAAGGGCTAGCTCCAAATTCAAAAACTTGAGGGCCAATGAGCTCAAGTCGAAACCCGACTCGCAAACCGAGCCCAAAACAGTTAACTAAAAAAGACTAAGGACCCAACGCGTAAGAGCCACTATCGCCAGCACTAAAATCGAAGGTCACACCGACCCGACGCGTAAGATCCACTGTTGTCAGCACTAAAATCGAAGGTCGCACTGACCCAACGTGTAAGAGCTAGGGCCGGTTTCTAGACCTAAGGGTCGGTAATCCCGCGCCGAGGTCCCGACATGGGGACTGGGCCCCAAACGTTTGACTTTCGACTGTTGTGAGTCGCTCAGCAATGGCAAAAACCCAAGGGTCTAACCCAAAGTCTAAGATCTCAGATCGATTATCAAAAGGCAAAGGAGAAAAGAAGTGATAAAAAACGAAAATCCTTCTATATATATTGCTCATAGAGGTACGTTACAAGGCCTTTAAAAACCTTTACAAGGAAGAAGCCAAACAGAACCCTAATCTATCATCGAGCCTACATCTTTGACTGCTCCGTCAGAGGTTGTGCCCCAACAGCTCCGGCTACAGCCTCGGGAGCTTCAATGGCCTCTTCCTCTCTGGGGATTCCTCCTTCATTCTCATCATCTCCTAAGCCACTACCCGATGCACCTCCAAAAGCAAACAAGACAGCCACCTTCTTTTCTAGGGTCTTCACCCTCTCGAGCTCGGCANCAATGACATCCTCTTTGTGCAAAGATATAAGCGCCTCAGCTTCAACTTTGATCCCGGATAGTGCAACAACTAACTCAGTATGGAGACCTCTATACTTGTCGTTATCCGCCCTCGCATCATGATGCTGGTGCCCGGCTAAGGCCATCTTTTCCTGGAGGGTATCCCTCTCAGAAGTTATCTCTCTCACGTGACGTTTGAGTTCGAGAACTTCAGAGGCTCTGGCTTGGAGCTCCTCCCTCAGTAGGGCACCTTCCTTCTTAAACTGCACGAATCAGATCAAAGATGTCAAAACGCTGGGATTTGGTAAACATTCAGACAAAAGCAAATAGAAACTAGGTAACTTGTTCAACAAGATGAGTCTTCTCACGCTCGTGACGGGTCACCTCAGCCTGAAACTGGGTGAAGGTCTGATCATAAAGCGCCCTGGCCTAGAGCCATAAAAAAGACAAGTTAGAAAGACAAATATCAGGACAACAGGCAGGATTTACAAAAACTACCTGCTCACAAAGCATGTTCATTTCACTGAAGACGAGTGAAGCATCGAGCTCGGGAATTCTCTCAGGAGCGACTGAAGTCCTTTCAAACGCATCTCTGCCTCCGATGGCCACCCCCACATCGGTAGGTTCGTCATTCTGGGCATCTTGCATTCCTTTAGAGGGTAAGGTCATTCCCAGAGAGGAGTCACTTATGACAATAACACCAACGGGATCAATCGGGGCCGTCTCTTTTCCCTGCAGGGCTTCAGAACTGGGTTCCTCCGAATCTCCTACCGAATGCGTCTCAGTTCGAGGAATATTTTGGCCATCCGCCAGCTCAGGGACATCAGCCAATACTTCCTCGGTGGCCTCTCCAACCCGAAGTTGGACCACAACGACATCAAGCTCCGACTCGGGAGCCGCCGTCTCTACGGCGTAAGGTTTGATCGGGTTTTCCCCTCTCTCGGATGCTATCGAGAAATTATTTTTCACCTCGCCTTCGACTCGGGGACTTCCCGCTTCTTCTGGAGTTAAGGCTGCTGGGTTGGCCTTAGTTTCTTCCACCTTGGTCATCTTGGGTTTCGAAGGTTCATTCGACGATTCCCTTTGTCTTTTCTTCCCTTTGTCGGGCCTCGAGGTATCTTCTTCACCAGATGATGTTCCCTTCATCAAGGGGACCTCCCCCAGACCTACATGAATGCAAGAGGTAAGCACAGGGAGTGATGACGCTATTAGTAGTTGACTAAAATGTACGACTGCAGCAGGAGTAAAGGCTCACCATGGTCCTTGGCTTCCCATCGAGCTCGGGACAGATCACGCCACACTCACTCAGCGTATGGGCAAATCGAATCTACCCGGCCGACCTAGCCCGAGAGGTCCGTAACTGCGTTGGGGTAAACTGCTACGGCCGCATCAGCAAAAGAAATTAGCATGTGGAAAAATGTATCCAAAAGGAAGCAAGGAGACGCTAGATAACGAATCCACTTACGTTCCATGTTCCACCTTTCGGGGAATGACATCCTTTCCACCGGGATCAGGTCCGAAGTCCTAACTCGGAAAAAATGGCTCATCCATTCTCTATTCCTAACTTCATCGATATAAGCAAAAAGGGCCCTCGAAGCTCGACAGTAGAGATTAATCAGGCCCCCACGCAAGAGGCGGAGGTGAATTTGGGTGAAGGGTATCTCTCCAATCATGTTCACATAATACCTGATCATGTAGACAACGTGCTAGAAAGAAGGGTGAATTTGGCCGAGGGTCACTCGATACCGTTGGCAGAAGTTGAGAATCACAGGGTCTATCGGAGGCAAGGACGACCCTACCGACCCAAGGGTATATGGGTAAGTATACACACTGAGAAAGTCGTCCTTGTATGTTGTTATATCCTCCTCCCGAGAAGGGACCTCCACAAGCACCGTATCCCCCAGTGGCAGTCAGTCCTCACTCTTTCGACGTCTGTTATTGAGCTAATATATTGAGACACAAGCTCACGTCGTCCCGGCTTCGAAGAAGGTTTTTCGACCTTGAAATTGGAAGCCGTTGCAAAAGATCCTGGAATGCATTCCCCAACGTGAGGAGGCACTGCTGCTTTGCCTTTAGATGAAAGCGAGGAGGAGGTCACATTCTCCTGAGAAGCAGATGCGGAAGTTTTCGCCATTCTTAGAAGATTTCAGAGGAGAAAAGAAAATTGTGTTTCAAAGAAAGAACAAAGTGAAGATAAAAGGAACCTTTTTGAGAGCTTGGTGGTGCAATGAACAATAAAGAGCGAGAGAAGAGGTATTTATAGAGGCCCAACACACACGTTGAAGGAGGCCAAAGGACAGCCAGCTGTCGTAATCAATATGAAGACTTTTAAGTGTTGTGTGTACGCGACCTTTTAGTGCCTTATTTTGTCGTGCCAATCATTTGGCAAGATATGACTGTCGTCATGACGGAGGTATCAAAGGGGCAGGAATTCGAGGTCATTTCTTATCGTTTCACTCTAAGAAACACGGGGACTATCTGTATACGGGTGAAATCGGGAGGCCCGATTTCGCGATCACTGTGCCTCTCCCTTAGCCTCAAAAAGGCCTCGAAGATCCGGGGGCGCAGCTCGAGGCTTCGACCTCGAAGGCTCTTCACACTCGACCTCGACGCAGCAGGAGTCGGTGGTTATCGAGGGTAAGCGGGAAGTTCCCTAGGCATGTGGTCCGAACTGGCGTCACCTGCAAGAATAAGTACTAGTATGCACCAACATACTAGGTAGTTGTGCCAGCTATCTTACCTTGTAATAAATGCATTAGTACTATGTTGGGGTCCCCCCTCATATAAAAAGGACCCTTGCCATTTTGTAAAGACATCTGATATTCAGTACTAAACATATAAGAACATTCTCTCTGCTCTCTAACATATTCTCTTGATCTCGTTACTTCCATTTATTGTTTGTGTTCTATTCATTGTTCTTTATTTACTGCTTATCATTGATCATAATGAGTCATCATTGTAGCTCTCATAACTGTTAATCCTCCCTCGATTGCCCTAAGCCGGCCACCAAACTCGACCTCGAGGCCCCAGATACGCCAGCTCGAGGCCCAGATCTCCAGTCGTTTGGTTTGACTATTACATCGTTCTCAAGCTATAATCTTGCTTTTTAATCTTTTACTTAGTATCCATTACCTAACAACTAGTATAAAACTATATTACGTATTTTAGAACCACAAAATCAAATTTAATTGTAATTACCATTTTCACGGTAAACAGATTGAATATAAGAAGTACAAAGATCCAATTAAGTAGGACTAAATTTATTCAGCTTATATATCACACAATAACACAATGTAGATTAAAACATCACAAGAATCCACCAAAAAGACTACTAATTACAACCACAGAGAGAAACAATAGCATGTTGTCTAGAAGTCATTTTCGTTAAGTATAACAAGAAGTGAGATGATAAATGCATAATCCACTCCAGGATAAACTCTGACTTGAAAGCTCTCCTTGCCTTTACATAGAAAGCTTCCTAGTTTGAAGTTGTCATTCACCTGCCAATTGCATAAAAAGCATAAAATTTCGTGCATCCAATAGCTAAAAAAAGAAAAAGAAAAAGAAAAAAGATAACAGAAACATAATCAAGTACAAAAAAGAAAGAGATTAGTACCTCAGCAGGCAGAGTTTCGCCTTTATACACTTTGAATGACTGAGAATGATAAGATCCAATAACTTGAAAATTAGGGACATTTTCGTCGGCATTGCTTGGCAAGAAGACATCTAGTCGAGTTTTCATCCGGAGGGAACTAGATCGTTGCACGCTATAGAGAATATGGCTTGCATCTGAACTCTCCCCGCCATGAACTATCCACCTATGACGACATGTCATTGCCTAATAAACCATAAAAAGCTTAGATGAGTCATTTCCACTAAGGAGGGTTGGGCTAAATTTGGACGGATTAAAGCAAATTGATTGAGTTATGACTCGTCCAGAATTTACTTTGATCAAGATCAGCGAGTCAATTTGGGCTAAACTATTAGTCATAATGCAATCTATTGAGCTCAAAATCATATTCCCTTTTGCTTCTTTGTTCTTTTAAAAGGCTGCCATCAAGTTGGAAGTGTAGATTACCAATGATATTTAATAGTACATCAATATGTGCGTCTGTGAGTCCTCTTATCGTCTTCTTCACAATCAGGTCTATCTGGTATGGTACGCAAAAGCAGTCCCCTACTACACTAACCAGGGGTGCAGGTACCCCATATGCCATTTCAGCTACTTTTGCCATTTGATTGGCTCGAGTATATATTCAAATGGATTAGCTAGTGCTATCAAATGCTATGTTTTGAAGAGAAATGACTGAATTCTACACAAATAAAAATCGTTTATGCTTATATAAGTCATTACACCTTTTATGGGCCTCTTCCTCTTGAAGTTTCATTGGAATTTACTAGGCATTAGTTTTTTTAAAAACGCGGTAACAAATAACGTGAGGGGATTTATCGTTTACATTTAATATATCATATTTTCTTGGTCATAGTTTCTCGTCTATACTTTGATTGACGAATATTTAATTTCTCTATTATTTACTCCATTAGTTTATGTCATCAGCACTTAGCTTCTTGCTAACCTGAACAATCACGATAAACTGAATTCTTTTAAGGGAAAAAGAAAACCTTAATAAGTTTCACAATCAAGGGGTCCCTAAAACGTAAGTTGATTCGATCGAATAGACCCCTCTCGTAGAACAAGATTAACTTAACAGAAAAGATAATGAAAAGGAGAGAATTAGCAAAATGGTACAAATTCGTAATGCCTTTTGAACTTTCATTGCGTCAGTCACCTTGATTTTCCCTTTTATTTATATCAAGTGTGAGCTAACTAATCTGGCATAACTATATTCAAAGCTAAAACTAGCTGGTTTACATAGTAACTTGTTGAAATTTAGATGTGCCAGATAGTCAATGAACCGATCAACATTTGTATTAGAGCATTCTACATTTACGAGTCAGTGTCTGACGTTTTGAAGAGGAAAATAACAAATTCTTTAACATATTAGTAAAATAAGAAATTGAAAGTTTTTGTTGAAATTGTTCTTTTGGAAACTTCCCCAATAAGCTAACCGTGAGCACAAGACGCGCATCTTGAAAGTGTTTGTTTTTTAAAAAGTTAATGAATTTGTTAAATCATAAATGAATTTTCCATTCAACTTCTCTTTTTCTTGCGTACGTTCTGTTGGAAAGTAAGTGAATAATATTAACAATATATCTTAATGAGCAGATACACATGGAGCATAAGTCATGCTTAATACTATTTTTGAAAACGATTTCAACAATGAAAATGGTTCCTTATGATTAAATAAGTCTTCCTCCACGAAAGAGCGTGAATAACAAAATTCAAATAACAAACCAACAAGTCAGGAAAGAAAAATAAGAGAAGGAATAATTAAGAGTATATTGAAGAAATAATCACAGGAAACAAATTTGGGTGCGAGAAAGGAGGCTTATAATTTCTTACGATTGCAAATTTTATGATGACCCGGCCGGTCATTTTGTGTATTATAGCCCCGTTTCTATATTTATTGCTTCTTCTATATTTATTTGTAGTTATGTGGCTTGTCGGAGAGGTTGGTTTGGTTTTGAAAATGTTTCGGAGTGAATTAGGACACTTAGTCCCTATGTTGAAAGCTTAAGTTGAAAGAGTTGACCGGAGTTTGACTTTTAAGTAGACGACTCCAGAATGGAGTTTTGATGGTTCCAATAGCTTTGTAGGGTGATTTTGAACTTAGGCGTATGTACGGATATTGATTTGGAGGTCCGTAGGTTGGTTTGAGGCTTTTTGACGAAATTTGAAAAGTTGAGAGGTTTGACCGAGAGTTGACTTTGTTGATATCGGGTTCGAATTTTGGTTCCGAGAGTTGAAATAGATCTGTTGTGTCATTTGGGACTAATGTGAAAAATTTGAGATCTTTCGGAGTTGATTTGATATAGTTCGGCATTGGTTTTAGAAGGTGAAAATTCATTAGTTTCATTAGGCTTGAAGTGGGGTGCGATTCGTGATTTTGATGTTATTTAATGTGATTTGTTGGTTTGACTAAATTCGCATCGTATTTTAGGACTTGCTGTTATGTTTGGAATGGCTCACGGGGCCCCGGGTGTGATTTGGATTGATATTTGGACTTAAGGAGTTGCTGAAGCTTATGGCTTCTGGTGTGGTTGCACCTGCGAGGTCTTGACTGTAGGAGCGAAGTCGTAGAAGCGACAGGCTCATCGCTAAGTAGAGGTTGGCTGGGCTTGGCAGAGGTCGTAGATACGAGGTATTTTTCGCATCTGCAAGCTTGCATGTATGAGGAATTTTTCCACAGAAGCAGATATGGGTAGGAGGGGTTGTAGTCACAGAAGCGGAAGTTCTCCGCAGGTGCGGACGCGCATGTGCGAAGGCAGGACCGCAGAAGCGATCCCACATATTGGGCCGCAGGTACGCTTGGTCGAGTGTCTAAGTGAATTTCGCAGATGCGAAAAATTGACCGCAAAAGCAGCGTCGCAGGTGCGATCTTTTGGACTGCAGGTACAATTTTGCTGGACAGAACTTATAATCGAAGGGTTTCGTGTTTTTCTCTCATTTTGGACTTGTGGAATTCGCCTAGGGACGATTTTTGAGAGGTTTTTGGCTACAATTGAAGAGGTAAGTGAAGATTCATCATTTTTATTGATAAATATTGATTACCCATTGATTATTACACCTAATTTATGCATATTTGAGGTGGAAATTTGGATTTTAGACTATGTTATTGGAGAGTAAGATTTGATAATTTGAGGGTCGATTTGTGGATGAAAATGGATGAATTTAGTATGGTTGAACTCGTAATTGAATGGGTGTTCAGATTTTGTGATTTTTGTTGGGTTTCGGGGTGCGAGCCCGAGGTTGACCTTTTGGGTTGACTTTCCGATTTTGATTAAAGGCCTTAGATTTATCTTTTGGAATTATTTCTTATAACTATTATTGATGGAGTTAAGTTGCTTTGGTTAGATTCGAGTCGCTCAGAGGCTAATTCGCGAGGCAATGATTTGTTGGAGTATTGAGTTATGCGCTTTGAGGTAAGTGACACATCTAAACTTGGATTTGAGGGTATTTAACCCTGAGAACTGCGTTATATGAAAGACATTGGGGTAACGTACATGCTAGGTGACGGGCGTGTGTGCGTCCACCGGTGTGTTCATGGTTTGGGAGGCCTTTAGGCTATTACCGGGATTGTTCTGCTATCATATCCTGTTATATCCATATTTTTCCTACTTGTTTAATCAGTTGAATTGTGATTCATGTTAGACATCACGTCTAGGCTAAGTGCTATTATGTGAGACCTGATAGGGCTATTCTTGTTGTCTTAGAGCTATATGCTTTATTTGTACACATGTTCTCAGTCATGATGCTATATTCGTGCATGATATCTCTATCTCATTACTTCTTATTTGATTCCTCACATGTTGTTGATCCCTCTTATGTGTAACACTATTAAAATGAGTACTTTGAGATGTGCTTATTTGAGACATGAACAGTAGATGAGTTTGGGCCATAGAGTCGGTTTGGTATTAATTTTTAGGTAACGTGCACGTCAGGCCCATATTGGGCTAAGTATTATTGTTTCGGGGCGACGCGTGCATCATGCCTCACTATTGGACTAAATGATTATGATTAGTGCTTGGGCATGATCCGCCCCTCTAGAGTCTGACATGACAACAGTGGGCACGGGCACAATATTTTATATACGTTTTTGATTGATGGGCAGTTTTGCCAAGCACCCGTACAATGCTAAGTGTGAGTATTGATGGATCCATTGTGACATTGTTGTTTGACACGTATACTTGACAGGAAGGCAGAGAGGTGTACCTTCCACATGCTATCTGTTAAATGAAATGCTTTATCCGTGTTGGACTTTAAATGTTATACCCGAAAATATGTCTAAATTTCTAAAATGTGAACAAACTGAACATGATATCATTGAGCTACTTGTTTCTACGATTTTTCCTTTATATTTTGAACTGTTATTGGTTATTGATATTGGAATATGACTATTGTTCTGAGCTCGTCCCTGCTTTTATCCCAAGGTTATTGTTGTTATTTATTGAGTACATAAGGTCGGTTGTACATACTACACTCTGCACTTCGTGTGCAGATCCAGGTACATCCGATCAAGGTAATTTTTGAACTTGAGTTGTTGCCATCTTTTGGGAGACTACGAGGTAGCTGTCATATCATCCGCAATCGTTGAAGTTCTCTTATTGTTATCTCTATCTTTACTGTTTTTTGTTCCGGGGATTTTTTGCTTGTATCTTGTCATTCGATAGTGTTCGTGTACCCGTTGACACCAGATTTTGAGATTAGTTGTAGCAGCATTATGGTTTTATTCTCATATACCTTAATATTTTCTTCCGATGTTAAGTTATTAGACCATGTTTATTCGACTGTATTGTTATTATGTGACTGTTGACTTACTTAGCAGGTGAAGATAGGTGTCATCACTACTTATGAAATTTGAGTCGTGACAATTGAATAATGAAGGTAAGATAAGTTATTTATAGGATGAAAATGAACTCTTATTATGACAAGAGTTAAAGGTTATGAAGCCATTTCTCGATAACCACTCATGAATGAAGCTACTTGACTAATTTCTGTAGCCACTTATCCATAACATCCCTTGACGAAGCCACTTAGCTCTCGTTTATCCATAAAATTTGTTTGGGAGCTTTTTTTTAATTATTGTTTTTAAATATATGTTTGTTTATAGATCTTAACGTTTTTTGGTAGATTTGAAAACAAAATTTTTAAATCCTCAAAACCGTTCTAGTAGACATTAAAATTTTAATGGATCAAGCTAAGTTCAACATTTAAGATACTACAAGACAGACTCTTGAAATTCTAGGAGTCTATCAGGATGCTCGGAGGCTACTCTACCAAAACCCTAACTTGGAGGCTACTCTATCATAACCCTAGGTCAATTCAATAAAAAGAGTTACATAATTTCTTAAATAAACATCTCAAAAATAGAGATCATCTCGAATATCCCATAAACTCATGGGATACTCACAAATAGATCAAGATGTGACCGGATAATTCTTGATAATTAAATACTCCAAGAAGATCCACTCCACAACATACTTTCATAGATATCAGATACATCCAAGAAAGTCTGCATCATCCTACGTTCGAGAAACACGTTGCTTCAGCCCCCGAATCACGGAGATAATCGGGAGAAAAGAATCAAGGGACACACAGAATTGTACTCATAATTAATTAATAAAATTACTTTATTCTTTTGTGATTGTATTTAATTTTCTACTCTAAGTTGTAAACAGCTCTAGAGTAATTATTGAAGTTTTCTACTCACAAAACTTCAAATTTTTTTAAGTAAAATGCATGCCAAACACAATTTTAAATTTCAAAATTTATTTTTAATCTCATCTTCGAAAACTTTTTTTTCAAGTTTCAACTAAGAACCTGTTTGTCCATAAAAAAAAATTTCTTTTTTCGAAAGTTTTTTTTCAAAAATGTGTTTGTCTATAAAAATTTGTAAATTTTTGGAGATTTTACGAAATGAGTTTTTCAAAAATCAAAAAGTGATTTTGACCACTTATTAAAATTTTTGGAAAAAACTTTTTTCCCCCCTCATAAAAAACTGCAATATTTTTCAAGTGAAATGCATGTCCAATTAATTTCAAATTCTAAATATTATTTTTCAACTTCAAATATTACTTTTTTCAAAAATTACAATTTTATATCCAAACATTCGTATAAAAAAAAAGGCAAAAGGGAAGCCAAGAAAAACATAATAAGTAGAATGGACATGGTAAAAGGGTCATATTTTATCACAACGATGAGTTACTCAAAATAAATTAATGTCAAGCTCGAGAATGTATTTATAAATTACCAGCTTCTTGGCTCTTCGGAACAAGACAAAATTTCTTACTTGTCATGGAATTTCAAGGATCACCTTGTCGATATCCATTGACATGTCATGTGTTCTATTCATGTGTATACCAAGAAAATTTCCCTCTCGCTAAATGGAGCATACGTTCTGTTTCAATGATATACCTACTAAATGGAGTGTACGTTCTGTTTCAATGATATACCTTCTCAATCACAGATTTTCATCTTAGACTTGAAAAATGACGGGCTTGGACATAACTTTATTGTGGACTTCAATCCAAAAAAAACTTAAACTTTATTTTTTGGGAGTTTTTCTTATATATATATATATATATACTAGTGAGGGTATGCCCGGGCTATGCCCGGGCCCAACAACTATTTAATATTTTTGTTAATAAAGCTATATAGGTACTTAAATCTATCATGGGCCATCGAAAAGAAATATGTTATGGAAAAGGTTTTTGTATACCTAAAGGTTTTGTAAGTACTATAGGCTAAAGAGAGATTGTATTTAACTGCCATAACTACATACATAAATGTGATTCTAACAGTATTAGCAATATGCGCACTGTCTTCACCTATCCATCCAGCTTTTCATGTTGGTACTGTTGCACGCACTAAAATGGCCTCTAGTAATTTGTCAGCCAGCTGAGCGTCTTCTACTCTGCTATGAAGATGAATTAAGCGTGTTAATGATTCACACAAGAGTGTACAATCTGCTCAAATAAACTTAGGGATATCTAACACCCACAAAAACTATGTGCAATAATTATTAACAATTCAGAGAGCTGTGAATAAACCTGTGAGATGCATTCATCTGTAAGATTATCTTAGAAACAAAAAAATCATATATTAATGCCCTTTTGAACTCACATCCTCATTTATATATACGATTACCATATGGTAGATTATGACTGCAATAATAGCAGGAAATAAAAGTCATTTTTTGAGGCCAATAAACCCAAAAAAGGGAGTTAATCATATATAATATAGACCATCCATTTCCACTTCGAACAGCTTTTGGCAGCCTAAACTTCTACAAGCTGTTCTCCTAGACATAAAACTTCTACAAGTTATACCAATAATATGTTCACCTCTTTCGATTACCAGAGTAGTTAGAAAAATACCAAAAAAAAAAGGAGAGAAAGATACATTTACTCCATGTATCTATCCTAACCCCAGCCTTTATTCATCAAGAAAGATCATTGCGAAGAAACACATAGTGTTTGAAGCAGAGAAACTAAATATGATTCACAATTTGTTGACTCCTCGGAAGGTCAACATTGGCATGTGTCCCATCAAACCTCATAGAGTCCTAGGCCTCCTAAAAGATACATTCAGCAAAAGAGTGCACTAAGATGAAATGTCAACCTCTAACATTTCGCTGTTTCTAAAATGCAATTTTGACTTGTAGCAATTTGTAGTCGACGCTCCAAGTATAACAAATAATTTCTTCCAGATCTACTCTGGAAGCTTGTCAATTGTACAATGTATTTCTAATTGAGAATTGGCTGGTGTTCAAAGCTGAAATACAGCACGTTGGTGTAATATTTTCGCTTTTACCACTAAAGACGTAAGAGCTACATTCAGCCTATAAAAATTAGCTTTTCCCCTGAGCAGAAATAAAACAGTTAGATCAGGATGTCACTTAGGTAGTGTAATACTGATACATCCATTTTCTTTCTCCTGATAGGAAGCCCAATTTTATTTGAAGGGAAACAGATAAAAATAAATTCTAACCTCTACAGGGGTCATAGGACATTTTCCATTTATGCGGTTGACAGCAGGTGCAATAACACGATATTTTTGTTTGAACTTCTTCCTCCATTCCTTCTCACGTACCACATCCATTTGTGACTTTTCAACCACTCCTCCATCATAAATACAACATGAAAAGGCTATCATGTCCTTCACATGTAAGTTGGAGTTTGCATCATTAGATTGTAGATCAACAGTGTCAATGGACTTCCAGAAAATCCTTTGCAAGCAGAACTAAGAAGAGAGATTGTACCTCCTCAAAGTGAAGGTGGATAGAAATTCCAACAGAGTTAGAGCTCCTCTCAATCATGCGCTTGACTAACTTCTTTGCAAGTGTCGATATGGCCAAGGAGAACCTCAAAGCTTCATAATTGGAAAAGCATCTCAGGAACTGAAGATGATATGGAAGATGCATTGATAATCTATTAGCAAATGGAGAAATATGAACAACCCTGCATACCTCTGGATTTGAAGTCACTGCTTATATACCCGGTATTGGGACCAACCCGGTCACTTAGTTCTAATGTATTCAGAATGTTTTCTTCAGGATAGTTGTCAGAGGATAGTCGTCAGTGCCTGATGCAAGGGTTGCATCTGTTAAGCAATCTTTTCTCATACAGTTAGAAAGTCCTTTTGCCATAAATGACAAACCTGGCAAAGATAAACTCGTGATAGACTTGACCTGCTCGCAAAGGAACCCCTCTTCAATATTTCATGTGTGCAAAAAGTTTGTCAAATAGTTTTGGGAAGATAAACTCGTGATAGACTTGACCTGCTCGCAAAGGAAAAAGATATACTTATTAGGCCTATATAGTAATAACTCAAAACAAAATAGATCTCTGACTAGTAAAAATGGAATCACTTGGCCGGATTAAATATACAAATTTTGAATAATGACATTTCAAGTACGTTATCCTGCATGTATTTAGCACATAATGGAATTAGATGGCAGTTACTTGTATTCAATTGTGGACCTTGTAATGAAACAACTATATTTTAGTGTTGGATTCTATCAGAGATGGAGGCATATCCTTTAGACATCAGTAGAAGAAAAAGCTAGTGAAATAAAGTAAATAAAAAGTGTAAGCATATGTGCCAATTTTCAATGAGCATATCACATTGTAAATCTCTCTAAATAGCGGAAAAACACTTACCTTGTCTTTGCTCTGATCGTTTCTTGTTAGGCTGTGTCTTCTTGAAGAGTTATTTGTTTTCTCTTGGTTTCTTCTCAAGCTGTATCATTTCTTATTCTCCTTTCTTAGTTTGAAATCTGTGTTCGTGATCCCTTTGTACAGCTGTTATGTCATCAGTAAGTGTTTCTACACTACAGTAATAATATTGGAGTCAGAAGTATATTTGTCAGCAGTATATTCTCAGTTAAATTAAACTGTAAGAACATTTAGTGGTGATTAAACTTCGAAACCTGGGTACTCCAAACATCTATAGAGTGAACAAGAAACATTAAAAGAATTTTTTTGCAATATTTCATTATAAAAGAGCCATCAACTTACTTATTCCCTTAATGATCATATTAATAATACAACTTTATTTGCTTATCTACATAAAAATGATTAATTTAACAAAAAAATATTACTTTTGGGGTTAAATTTTTTTTTAAGATGAATATACTACTTATTTTCCTTTGTAAAATAGTAAATGTAGTATTCTATAGGGAGAATAATATATATAAATCTATTTCTTACTATATCATTAATGTTACCTTGTTTGTTCAGGTGTTTTTGTTTTATCAAATACCTACCATATTCATGTCTGTATTCCCTCATCTAATATGCACATGCAAGTAGTCACAAACTTCTGGATAGGCAAAATTAATTGATGTAAAGTTCTTTCCTTTTCGGGTGGAATGTAGGTTTACATTTTGCCCCAACTACTACAGCTAAAATCTTTCGACTTAACGGAATGTGGTATTTTTGAGTAGCCAACAACACATTTTTCAGCTTTGGCCTTTTCTTTTACACAAATAAAATAAATGAAGTAAAAGTACCAAAATTTTATGTAATTTCTGTCCAAAATCCTAAAAGCAGTTGAGTTAGCAAACAGTAGGAGAATAGAGCTTAATCGTTATACCAGGCAAAATAAAAAACACAAAGTCCAACAAATTAAAGGAGGAAAATATGAATATCCATTCAATCATGTAAAATGAAAATTCTTTCAAAAGTTGGCTTATCATATTCATTTCACATTCTAATAGTAACATATCATCTTCTTATTTTCTCACATTTGCAACAAAAAAAACTGATCGATAACTCAATATTGCTTGATGACCTATTCAAAGATAACATCAATAGCATTTATCAAACAATGTAATAGCTCATTTGCTAAAAAAATATAGGTTAATTTTATACTACCTGCAAATGCAATTTCATACCTTTTCCACGTGACAGAAAAGCTCCAATGATTAGACTTTAGGATAATAAGAAAGTGTGTCAAGTCAGTTATAATAAATCTTAAAATATTTTAATCAAAGAACGGCAAAATTTGTTGAAATGTCGGAGAAGCAAACCTGCAAAGTTTTTCTTGACTGGCACACCAACTGCAAGGAAAAATCATGGAGAAGTTTAGTGCTAATTTTTCATAGATCCACCAGAGAGGAGACTTAAAGAGTCAAAACAGATGTTGGCGAAATTGAGAAGTAGCAAGTAGCGAAAGAAATGAAACATACAGATTTGTAGACATATCAGGCTTGCGTTTGCTTTCGGAATGCATTTGTTTTGCTCTCTTTTTCTTTTTGGCTTTTCCAAATATTAGATTTATCATCATGTACATATTATATTTCTCTAAAGAGAAAGCAAAAAATTTTAGAACACCACCTACAAACATCATGCTACAGTAATGTAATATGCTTTACCTATATGCAACATTCCAATAAAAATATATTAGCCCTCCATCTTGCACCAGGAACAATCGTAGAATGATTAATTAATTGTCACCAGTTATAATTTTCATGACCGCAGAATGTCCTAGCAAGGTTAGTAATTCATCGTACAACCATTCATCAGTCTTGTTTAACACTTTTTTATTTTAGGTAAACACTAAAGAATGAATAAGGTTATATAACTGGAAGAACAAAGTAAAAGGAAAACAGAAGCCACTCCAGATGTAGATGTAAAACACCATGAAAGTAAGATATTAGATATGCTGGTATTTCCATTAAAATCTTCTATAGATATATGATGCAATTTTGTAATTGCAATTTTGAAACTTCAAAGTTTTTATAAATAATTCATTTTGTAGTAATTAACCGCAAAGCTTACTTAGAAAAGGTACCAATGGAGAACGTAGAAGTCAAAAAAAGCCAGGAAGCATGGAAAACAAACTAAATGGGGATCTCAGGCAACAACAATCCTAGAAGAAAAAGCAGAGAATTAGCGAAGCAGATAGAGAAATAAAAAATTACATAAATGAATAATTCAATAACTCTTTACCAAAAAAGCAATCATATTCTATTAGATAGAGATCAAGATGAAAACAAATGAAAGATGAAAATACCTGTTGGTTAACATTTAGAGATGTAAACGAAGTATAATCCACTGAGGAATTATCCAGTCCAGAACAAAAGACTTAGAGTATCATCTTGTAGTAAGAAACATCACATGATTGCCTTTTGAATGATTTCATCGTAAACTATGTTACAGGTAGAATGATCATCATCGCTAGTTGGGGTGGGAGGTCGAATCAACAATTTCACACAGTTCGAACTCTTTGCTCTAGATAAGGCAACATAAAGTTGGCCGTGGGAAAATACAGGTTCACGCAAATAAATTCCCACAAAATCTAATGTTTGACCCTGTGCTTTATTTATAGTCATAGCATAGCACAATCTTACTGGAAATTGTGTTCTCTTGAATTGAACAGGTAATTTTTCATCATTTGATGATAATAATGGTATTCTTGGAATAAATACATGCGTATTCTTGAAATCACCTGTTGCAATCTTAGCACTTAGAACATGCGTTTTAAATTCACAACAGTTTAATCGCGTGCCATTACATAAACCTTCATATGGATTTAAGTTTCGTAATAACATAATTGGACAATTCTTTTTCAAAGATAATATATACGGAGGCAAACTTGTAGGGTTTAAAGTATGCAATAGATCTTCAAATTGTGATTGATTGTCAGATTCAATGGTCTCATCAATACCAACAAATGTTCTTGCTTTTCCTGGAAATTGAGTAATAAGCATATCGTTGATTTCATCGACAAAATTATTTTTTGTTGTCAAAATTACATGGGAGTCTGTACAATAAGCGTCATAACCAGATGAATTCAAATATGGATATGTTATTGTGAATAGTTTATCTAAAGATTCTCTTTCAGTTGTGAAAGACACAATTAAAGAATTTGGTACTTCAATGTTGTTTGTTGCGTTAAGACGTTCTTGTCCATTCCTAATTCTTAGCAAATAATCACAAAATGTCGGATCTGTTTTTGCTCTCATATTCTCACATAATTGTATTTTTTCTAGCTTGGCCCAAATGCTGCAATATAACAAACTTTGATTAATAAAATCTTCCTTTTTTCCATTTCTCACAACGGGAAGAGTTTGTCTAAAATCACCCCCAAAAACAACTACTTTCCTACCGAATAAAATATTTGTATCCATAAGATCTTTTAGTAGCAAATCAAAAAATTCTAGCATTCTTTTATTTGCCATAGATGCCTCATCCCATACAATCAATTTTGCATCGCGAATTAAACTCGCGAGTGCGCTTTGTTTACTAATATTGCAGCTGACATTCTCGTTAATATCAATAGGAATTTTAAAGCGTGAATGTGCAGTACGCCCACCAGGGAGAATAGAAGCAGCGACACCAGAAGTCGCAGTTGCCAAAGCGATATATCCCATAGACCGTACAGTTGCTAGTAAAGCACGATATAAGAAAGTTTTTCCAGTTCCTCCTGGACCGTCAATGAAAAATGCGCCTGCTTTGTTAGAAAATACTCTATTGATAATTACATCATATGCTGTCAGTTGATTTTTATTTAGTCTCTTATGCAATTGTACCTCGTCTTCACTTACAGTAATAGTTCTTTCAAAGTGAATCTCTTTTGCTTCTTTCGCTGCTGCGGAAGTCCTAATAGTTTGTGGAATGAGTTGATATTCATTTACATTGTGACCCATAGAATGCAAAATATCATTGATATGGTTCAGAACTTGATATCGGATTTCTTTTATTTCAATAGTCTGTAACAGTTTATAATCTTCAGACATAGACTCTTCAAACTGCTCCCATAGTTCTCTTGGATTGGTAGGGTTGCAGTGTACCAATAATGTAGCAAACAAACGCCTTAAACTATATGGCATCTGATAACTTGCTGCTTCAGACATGCATTCCGTTAAACTGTTATCATACTGTAATAATCCTTTTTTTTCCACAGATTCTCTAAATGAACTACAAGGTTCTCCATTTACCATAAGAAGATCCTCGTACGATGTCGGCCCACGCACATGCATCAATAATAATCTAAGATAATATCGTTCTCCTTCTGTTGGATGACATGTTACAACGCGATCAACAGTACAACGACACTGTCGAAGTGCCCAAAATTTGTCGCTGGAGGACCACACAAAGTATTCAGGAAATTCTCTGTACAATAAGTTCAGCTTCATGGCATTCTCATTCGTTTTGTTCATATAGAAGAACTCGGTCAACATAGTTTTTTTAACCATGGGATTGTTTACAATCGTATTTATATCCATATTTTTCTTGAAAGAAACAAGTTGTTGTCCATCAAGATGCACCTGAAGACGACAAACATTCGGAGACATTTTACTAATAGGAAAACGAAAGAGACGCCATACAGCTTCCGGAGGTGATACCCATCTTGCAGACCGATATTCATTTACCTCATCTATTTCTATATTCGCATCATTATTCTGTACAGAAAATACAATTTTGTCATGTCCTTTACAGATGTACTTATAAAGGTACTTCACAACTTTGATATCAGAGCAAACTTCAACATTTATGTGACAATTGAATTTACCGAGTAAATATGGGTTGTATGGGACGACCCAAGAGTTATCTAAATCATGACCTCTTACTTTAACAACTTCACCTGTGTTTCGTCTTCTATAAATTGGATAAGAATCATTTCCTTTTGATGTTTGATCAGCAAACATTTTTGGATATTTGAACTTGCAAGAACCTATTTTTTTCCTCATGCAGGAATTTGTTGGGTCTAAACTACCACAGGGACCGTGCATCATATGCTTAAGAACAAGCTTACGCAAATCTAAGTCTGCATTAGCATCTGGTAATTCTGCTCTAATTATTTCATCGTATGCTTCAGTTGTCAACAATTTATAGTCATTCAGTAATATAATAAGCAAATGAGCATGAGGCAAACCTCGTTTTTGAAACACAACGGTGTACATAAAAGCAACAACTTTTTCAAAGATATTTTGTTTTAGAATATCCGTCTTCAGCTCTTCTATCTTGGCCCTAAATACGCGACTAATCAAATCAGGTCTATTTTGTGCCTCATCGCTAAGTGCTAAATGTTCCTCAATTTCTAGTCAAGCTGGGTTACATGTCATCGTTACAAATAAATTAGGCTTTCCAAAATACTGCACTAATGCAATAGCGTCCATATAACGTTGACGCATATCTCTAGGCCCTCCTATAAATGAATTTGGCAGAAATGTTTGTTTTCCAACATTAGAAGCATCTCGTTTACCAAGTCTTCAAATATCAAAAAGTCCATTTAACATATCCATTCTGAACAAATCTTGATTGAAGAAAACAAAATTCAATCTTTGAGTCTCCAATTTTATATATTCATCAACCGAATACTGTTGAAGTAATCTACATGTATGTAGAACTTCATCTTCATCATCGTTTCTCATTTGGAGCTTGTAACTGTAGTATTCACGAACTGAAACTATATCTCTCTTTCGTTTCCCTTTTTGCATAACTTGATCTTCCATATCAAGATATCCGTCAACGGAGGTGAAATTTTTTATATTTGGTAGTTGTTCCAAATCAGACAAAGCATAATTTTTAGGCATATTTTCTTCCCCATGAAACTTTCTAATGCCACAATGCCACCCACTTTGGCCATATGGAAATAGTAAAGGATACTATAAAGGATCATAACAGCCAAAATAGTAGTTCACTCTTTGCGTTCTATTGCTATGAGTATAAATTTGAATATGCGGTACATGAATAACACCAACATCATTCTCATCAACCCATATTGCTGCAACCTCAGTAGTACTGGGCAAGTTAAATATTCATTGATCCAAACCAGAGTTACATTTAAGTGCGATGTGATAGTTCTGTAAGTTCGAAATCTCAGATAAAGTTCGTAAAAATATAGAATATGGATTATCTTTCAGTGTGTCTATCAATTCCCTCACTATCAATTCATCTATTTTATCAGAGCAAGCCATTCTATTTGCAATCTCATTGTCGTTATCATAAAAATACAACTGCAAATTTTTTGGCCTTCTCTGTGCAGGATATAAATCATCTATAAAGTGATACATTTGACCTTGAACTCTGAATGTGTATATACCACAGTTTCTTTTGGATAGATCTTTATCGTAACTGATACCAAGCGAGCTAAAAGCAAACATATTATTATACGTTCTAATATACGTCTGGAAATGCTTGGATTTTGCAGAAGATCCTAGATATAAATTTCTCAGTGCAGGTGGCATTTTATGATAAGTCAACTTAACTGTACCGTTAGCACAACAAAACGAAGACGGTTCATACTGAAATTTTTTTGCCGAGCAGAATTCACAATTTGGCACTTTTTTAAGTGGAACATAGTCAGAGCATAATCGGATATTATTAGGCATATTTCTCTTTTTTTCATAACCAACATTAGTCAATTTTTTCTTATTCTTTACATGACCTGCATACGCCAAATAGACTTAAGGAGTGGAAAATATTATGAAACACCAAAAAAGTAGAAACGATATGTTATGTTCATAGTAACCGTCAGCCAAAATTGGCTCAAAGGATATAGCACTTGACTTATTTGAAGTGCCTGATGTAGAACCTGATGCAATACGATTATGGATTAAACATGTGAGCACAGTAGATGTAGAATTTTCAGTGATCAAGATTACATGATTACCTTTTTCAAAGACATGAAAAGGGCACAACACATTTTTCACCTTGTGAAGCACAGCGGGTGGCGTACAAACTTCACATTCATTGGTTGCTGCAAGAATTTTTTTTTAACAAACATGAAAACCAAATGGGTATAACTGTTTCACATGCGCACTCATATGTGTGTGTGTGTATATACACATATATATATGGGAAAAGACATATAGTGAATTTAATGTTCTAACCTGTTTTTGGCAGAGAACAAGAGGCTGCAGCAAAATTACCTGACATTACAGAAGCTGGTTCAATAAGATTGACATAAGTTTTACTTGCGAGAAGACGATTAGTTGTTGTCTCTCTTTTTTTTAGACGCCGTTGCAGTAGAAGCGCATTCTTTTCAGCCATGGTCATTTGTTGTATACTTCACGTCGTTTGGCATTCTTGTCATAAGCTTCTGCCGTTATGCAAGGACGTTTTTTTGTTTGATGAGGATCCATTGTTAAGAGAACTTGAGTTTTGCAAATGTCACTATTCTAATCACAGTACAAACCTAAATCAGAAAAATAAAGATTAAAAGGTGTAGTAACTTGCCATATATCAATTTTAAGTGTTAGGCTTTCTCGTTAGGCAACTCGATTATGTTAATGATAAGACGAACAAACATAGAGATTAAATTAAACCTTGTTAATATGAAGGACAAATATTTATAACCTATCACCATACATTGAATTTTCGCTCAATGTATACGTTGCCTATGTTATCCCATTCAACAACGTTTATCAACTTATCAGATTGCACACTAAATATAACTGATTGTACAATATGATGTCAATCAGTAGGCATCTCACTCACCGTGACACCTAATTAACTAATTTACTACTAAATATAACTGATTGTACAATATGATATCAATTTGTAGGCATCTCACTCACCGTGACATCTAAGGCATGAAAAATATGAAATTAGATTTCCAATGCAAGACTAAACATTTCTTAGGACAGTTGGTAATCAGATATACATTCTTAGTGTTCAGATCTACATCACAAAATTATAGAGTTATAGAATTGAAGGTGTTCACCACTTCGGCTAGGCTTTGTTGTGCTTACGTGGACGAATGATTGGATAGCAAGATATAACAACTAATTAATGTGTAGTAGTACATAGAAGAACAAAAAACTGATGAGACAATCTCAAGAACAAAAAAGTAAGGAGCTTCGCGTCGTCGTCCTAGCTTGTCATGCTTCCCGATCGTAACGGTATTATGGAGAATTCCCATGTTTTTTTGCTATATTCAGCGTATTGGCCAGAAGGGCCAGCTATAATCATCCGGTGTAATTAGCTTTCTATGATGTACACGTGCCTTTTATCATGATTTCATGACCAACAGGCCAAGTACTACTTCAAATTCTTTAGCTTATGTGTTGATTCATAAATCCTGATGATACTTTTCATAAAAATTATGTTTGTTTAAAATCTTTTAATCATCAAGGTGGAATAAAGGAAGCTAAATCAAAGGTCAATACTGCAGTAGAAAGTGTTTATCTGCAGGTGCCCAAAATAGCAACGCAATAAGCATGTGACAGTGTTTATCTTGTTCATGTGGATACAATTCTAAACTCATCCCTTTTATTGTTCTAATAGCAGTAAGACAAACAGTGGGAGAAGAATTTAGCATTGATTTTAAGACCACATTCATCACTTCAGAAAGATTATCCCTCATGGCCTGGGAGGAATAAATGAATTCCAACGATACTTTAAGCTAAAATAGAGTCACAACTTTCAGTTCAACGATATAAAGCATGAAAACCTTCTGTAGTTTCCATTAAAGTAGCCGGAATCATTCGGAGCAGAAAATAAGTAAAGTATTTCATTCCCCTAACCAAGTATCCTATTAAATATACATACATACATACATACATACATACATACACAGACACGTATTTATATATGTATTGTATATGTATATATGCTTAGAAGTCTACTTGTAGAAGTTATCAATACCAAAATTCCAAGTTTATTGTTAAAGGGAAAAGCTTATGGTATATCACCTACAGTCACACATGTTCACATTAAAAAAAAATCAAAAGCATGGCAATAACAATACATATATACAGCAGAATATATACTACTGAAGAAGTCAAACAACATATGCATAACAAAATCATCACAACATATCCAATTTTCCATACGGAACTATGCTAAAACCTATCAAAGAAATCGACACAAGAGCAAACTTGAAAAAGCAGAACAAACTATAAAGAGATCAAAATAGAATTCCCATTTAACCAAATACCAGACACAAGAACCTCAAAATCTATTACTGCTCGGCACATCGTTTACCCAAAATAAAAATCATCAAACTATTCTTCGCAGAAATCGAATAGAAAGTGTGATTCATTGAAGATTTTTTGTCAAACACATATAAGACCCTTATTATCAAAGAAGTACACAAAAGTTGAGTAAAAAGAATCGAAATTCCAGGTAAAACATAACTAACCTGATAACTATGTCCACGAAACGCACAAATTGAGCCGTAAGAGAGAAGATCGGAAGAGAGATTTGAGAGAAATAGGAGATGAGTTGAGAAAGTAATCAAAATGAAGAGAAACAGTAGAAGTGTGGATCTTCTTCGGAATTCTGTGGCTTTGGGATTTTGCATAGCGGCAGCTGTACCTCCGCTAAAACGTGGCAGAGATGGAAAAATCAGAGATAGCATGTGTCCATAAAGCGAAATGCTATTCCGAAAATACCCTTACTACCCCAAGCTCCTCTGCTTACTCGCTTCTATAATAGTAGTAATATATATATACTATAATAGAAATTTATTTTTTTTAGGTTTTGTAATTTTCAATAAGTATCTAATTTTTTCTTATAAATTATGTATATTTCACTCTCAGAAGGCTATCATCCCATTAGTAGTAGGGGTGCTTATCAGGCGGATAATTACGCTTAACGGTTCGGCTTAACAATTATTGAATTATAAATATAGTAATCTGCTAGCTATCCAATAAGACAACAGACGGATTAGTATCGGATTAACAATTATCGGAAGGTTATTAGACGGTTTATCGGCTAAACCAAATAGTAATATTTTGAATAATCATTCATTTAGATACCAAACAGTTTCAAATTAATACCATCTAAGATCTAACCAAACGGTATTTTTGGATTGAAGAAACTTCAAGACTCTAATACACGTATTAACCAAGTTCAGTATTCAATAAAACATTCGTTCTTCACAAGACAAAAAAGGACATTCGTTCTTCCAGAAAAGCAGACTTTATAAAAGGATATAAAACCAGACAATCCAGTCAAGTACTTCTAGTTCATTGCACTACAATATGATTACGGATCAATTCTACAAAACTTATTAATCATCCTGTGAACACCTAATTTTTTACCACAGCCCAAATCCTATACTACTTTAGTATAAATATTTCTTTTAGGTCTAATCTTAATATTTAAAAAGTTTATCTTATTCTTAATAGGTTTTATTAAAAGAAAAAATATAAAAATACTCACATTCTTAGAGTATGAATTTTATATATATATATCTTTCATCAGAATTTTAATAAGTAAGCTATAGTATTTTCTTAGTACAATTTAAACTATATCGTAAATATTGAATTTTCTTATTTATATAATTTTTTTAAGTCTAAAACTGTCACGACCCTAAACCCGGACCCAGTCGTGATGGCGCGTGTCATGAAGACAAGGCCATCTGACACTTTTCCATTTCAATTTTAAGCAATTAACAATAAGAATTAAGTCTAAAACGTAATAAATAATCCAAAAGTAAGCAGTTAATAGAACATTTTGCGGAAAATAAACCCAACACAGCCCGATATCGGGGTGTCACTAGTCATGAACATCTACCAATTCTAACACAAGTCTGAAAAGTCTACAAAACTATTACAAAGTTACTAATAAGGGAAAATAAATGAGATATGGGGGAGAAACACGGGACTGCGGACGCCAAGTAGCTATCTTGTGAACTCCAAAGTTTGCCGAGAGCTCTCAACTCTCGCTAGCAGGATCAGCAACACCTGAATCTGCACAGAGAGTGCAGGGAGTAAAGTGAGTATTCCAACTCAGTGAGTAATAATCATAAAATGAAGACTGAAAGCAAGAAATGACCGTAAGGCACCTTACAGGCTATAATAAAGCAGTAAAAGCCAGTAAAACAGTGAATTAGTAAAGATATGTAAAAAATCATTCAGTTTAGTTTAAACTTCATAAAAGGCCTTTTTAACAATTAAGCAAGTAAATGACAGGCAATAAGGAAGATAAACACATAAAGGTTCGCCCCTCGGGCACAATGTCAACAAATCCGCCCCTCGGGCAATATCTTAGAATAATACCAGCCCCTCGGGCTATATCTCACATCACAATGAGTACCCGCGCTCACTAGGGATGTGCAGACTCCTGGAGGGGCCCTTTATGGCCCAAGCGCAATATCAAGCCATCTCGTGGCATCATCACTAGGCTCTCGGCCTCATATCAACAAGCCACCTCGTGGCGTACATATCTCAGGCCCTCGACGTCATAATCATAATCAGTGTTTCCTCACAACATAGGCCCTTGGCCTTACTCAGTCAAAATCCTCACAAGCCACTCGGGCAATAGTAAAACATGATTTTCAGCCCAAAATAGCATTTAAAAGATCATTTAAGTGTTAAAACAGAGTGCTGAGTTATGAAAACAGTGGAATATAGCATGACTGAGTTTAAATATAAAGTCAAAACAGTGAGGAAATATCAAATAAGAATCTCATAAGGGTTCAAATAGTTGGCACGGGGCCCAAATATGGCGTTCAACGTGAAACATGATGTTCACAAATAGATTTCAGTCAAACACGCGGTAAAATAGTCATTCGGGACGGACTAAATCACAATCCCCAATAGTGCACGACCCCACGCTCGTCATCAAGCGTGTGCGTTACCTCAATATAGCACAACGATGTGCAAATCCGGGGTTTCATACCCTCAGCAAATGTCAGTTTCATATTAAGGCAAACAGGTAATTCTAGTCTAGCATGCTGCACAGAATTCAGGTAAAACAATTTGAGTAAATAAAGCAATTAAATCACTTCGACATGCTTTCCTAAGCTAACAACAGGCTTAAAGTGCAAGTAATATAACAGGAAAGGAAACCTACTAGTAATTACTTAATGAAAATCGGATTTTCAATAATTAGCACAAGTACGCACTCGTCACCTCACGTACAAGACATTTCAATTAACAATAATACAAAATCCTAAGGGGAAGGTCCCCCACTCAATGTTAGGCAAGCCACTTACCTTGAACTGGCTCAATAATCAATCTGAAACCACCTTTTGCCATGCGTACTCGACTTCAAATGACCCAAATCTATTCAATTCAATTTCATAACGTAAATAACACTTCAAGTAACTGATTCTACAAAGAAATTTCTAAGCTAATATGCGAAATTAGGTAAAATGACCCTCGGGCCCACATCTCAAAATTGGGTAAAATTTATATTTTCAGAATCCTCATACTCTCACGAGTCCATGCATACCAAAACTATCCAAATCTAAGGTCAAATTCCCAATCAAAAGTCGAATTTTAGGTCTAAGAACTTTCTTCAAAATTTTCCTCAATTTTCATCTCCAATCCGAAATTAAATGATAAAACTAACTATAGATTGACGGAATATAACTAGAAAGGGTTAAAGAATTGTTACCCAATGATCTCCTCATCAATTTCCTCTCAAAATTGCCCTCTCCCGAGCTCCAAAGCGAATTTCCAACTTTTGAAACTAAACCCTCGAAATTTCATATTTCTCCCTAGTTGTTTCCGCATCTGCGGTCCCGCTTTTGAGGACCAAAGGTCGCACCAGCGACTTTTCACTTAATAGCCAGGTTCATCTGCGACTCCCAATCCGCAGATGCGGTACCGCTTCTGCGGTTCCTGAAGAAATTCCAAAATTCCGCTTCTACGGCCACTGAGCTGCTTCTGCGGCGCCGCACCTGCGAAACCCAAGCCGCAGGTGCGGTTATGATAACCAGCAGCTGAAGCTGCAACTCTAACTCTAAAATCTTTTCGTCAACCATCTGAATTCATTCCGAGGCCTCCGGGACCTCAACCAAAGGCACCAACAAGTCACAAACCACTATCCAAATTTGTACCAATCCTTAGAACACCTAAAACAACATTGAAACCTCGAATTAACCATGGATTCAAGCCTAAGAACTCCAAAATTCTCAAAATACGCTTTCGATCAAAAAGTCTATCAAACTTCGTCTGAATGACCTGAAATATTGCACACACGTCACATTCAACACTACGGAGCTACTCCAACTTTCGGAATTCCATTCCTACCCTCGGATCAAAATCTCACTATTGGACCGGAAACTTCAAAAATTCAACTTTCGGCATTTCAAGCCTAAATTAGCTACAGACCTCCAAAACACAATCCGAACACGCCCCTAAGCCCGTAATCATCTAACGAAGCTAACGGAACCATCATATTTCCATTCCGAGGCCGTCTTCACATTGTTCTGACTACGGTCAACTTTCCAACACTTAAGCTCTCATTTAGGGACTAAGTGTTCCAAAACTCCCCGAAACTCAAAACCGAATGTCCCGGCAAATCAAAATAGCAGAAATAAACTCGGGAAAAGCAATTAATGGAGGATTGGGGCATTAATTCTTAAGATGACCGGTCGGGTCGTCACATCCTCTTACACTTAAATATTCGTTCGTCCTTGAACGAGCATAGAGATGTACATGAAGTAGTGAAAATATGAGGGTAACGGCTGCGCATATCCTGCTCGATCTCCCTGGTCACTCCTCAATCGGCTAACCCTTCCACTGAACCTTTATCGAAGCAATGTTCTTTGACCTCAGCTTTCTAACCTGCCTGTCCAATATTGCCACTGGCTCCTCAACATAAGATAGATCCTTATCCAATTGGACCGAACTGAAATCCAACACGTGCGATGGATCACCGTGATACCTCCAGAGCATCGAAACATGAAATACCGGATGAACTCCTGTCAAGCTGGGAGGTAAGGCAAGATCATAAGCAACCTCCCCAACACGCCTCAATATCTCAAAAGGGCCAGTAAATCTCGGATTCAACTTTCCCTTCCTCCCAAATCTCATTACTACCTTCATAGGTGAAACCCAAAGCAGAACCCGCTCTCCAACCATATAGAAAACATCACGAACCTTCTGATCCACGTAACTCTTTTGTCTGTACTGGGTTGTACGGAGTCTATCCTGAATCACCTTAACCTTCTCCAAAGCATCCTGAACCAAGTCTGTGCCCAATAATCTAGCCTCACCCGGTTCAAACCAACCCACTGGGGATCTACACTGCCTACCATATAAAGCCTCATACGGTGCCATCTGAATGCTGGACTGATAGTTGTTGTTGTTTGAAGCAAACTCTGTCAATGGCAAGAACTGATCCCAAGACCCTCCAAACTCAATCACACACACACACGGAGCATATCCTCAAGAATCTGAATAGTGCACTCAGACTGTCCGTCCGTCTGAGGGTGAAATGTTGTACTCAACTCTACTCGAGTACCCAACTCATGATTAACGGCTCTCTAGAACCGTGATGTGAACTGAGTACCTCTATCTGAAATGATGGAAATCGAAATACCATGCAGACGAACAA